ATTGTCTTGTGCAGTTTTATTAATGTATCAGTCCTAAACAGTAGAGATATGTGTGCATTGCACTCATACAATTTGTTTTTACAGCTTGATAACAAAGCTTGGTCACACTGATAATTTACAAACTCGAAAACTTGAAAATGTGGAATCCAAACCCAGTGGGTGAAATGATGGTTTCATCTTTTATAGTCTATGTACGTTAATCATGCTTACTCATCTCCCTTTGACTGCCACACCAAGAAAGAAGCAATGGAAAAAGCCTTATGTGCTCACCCATTTGGCTGAGCAGATTGATAGCTTTAATGTTTAAACATGGTGATAACCACAACCTGAAGAAATGAACTATAAATGAATTCTTGTAATCATTAAACTAGTCAGTATAACAAAATGTATGTAATATTTGAATTACCTTCCATAATTTGCTATAAAAACCCTAATCTTTCCTGCACGTTGTGTATAATGTGTCTCTACACTGCACAGTTATAGGGGAACACAAAAAGTAAATGGTAAATGAACTGTTTGTCATATAGTGTTTTTTCACTGTACCCGAGCACACAAAGCACTTTATACAATATGCCTCACTTAGCCATTCATACAAGCACTTTCTGTATACTCAAGTGCCTCCTATCTGACATTCACACTCCAATGGATGCATCGGAGACCATATTGGGGTTAGTATTTTGCCCAAGGATAGTTGGCATGAAGACTGGAGCAAGGAGGGGAGGAACCACCATGGAACAACCAACCCTCCACTCACCTCCAGAGTTACTTTAAAATTCAGTATAAGATGTTACTGAACCTGCAAAACAGGTGGTTAATCAAGATTTCGGTAACTCAACAAGAGAGAAAACCCAAAAGAGGCCTTACCTTTTCATGGTAGTAGAAACTGTATTTGATAAATTAAGTTTAGACTACCTACTCTATCATTTACTCTGAGCATTTAGGTTTACAGTATGATAATGATGAAGTAAGATATGATTTGCTGTTTAATCAACTGGTGACTTAACATATTAAGATGTCACGGTGGCCTTTTTGATTTGTAGCTGTAACTGTCTGTTCACACCTCCAGAAAATATTTTGCAACACCTTAACCGAGTTTAAATGTTAGTTTACATGACGCACAAAACACTCTGCTCTACTGTTCCCCTGCAGCGAATCATAAAAACAACTGGTTGTTTCTGTGACAATGAAAGCACGTCTGGTCCTTGCTCTCTCCAAAACATTACACGGTATATTATCCACAGCTCTAGCTATTAGCCTAAAGGTACTCCATTTCCACAACAGCATAACTGGAATGACTTCCTGAGTAGATAAACTGTTGATAGGCCAAGATCTCAAGAGTAATTACATCATGTTTTATAGTACATAATCCAGGAGAAAATGATGAGAAGCCAGATGAAAGTGTGCATCAATCAAATGTAACAAACCCAATTATTGTCAGCCCTCCCTCCTTTTCTTTGCTGCTCACAGCCATCACACATCTCCCCATGACTCAATCCTGATATGGCAATTACAGCGGTGGAGAGTCTTTGCTAATAACTACAATCCAATCACTTCACAGCATGCGCGGAAAGAAAGAAGACATGTGATAAATAATGACAACCCGCAATTTACTTGATATTGTTATTTTTACACTTGCTTCTTCGATATCAGGCTCATAAATGGCTTTAATGTGAATTTCTTCTTAAAATTTCCCATTAGTGCCATGGTGCCATCACACGGCAGACTCTGTGCTGTCTGTGTTCATAACCACAGCCACAGGCATAGACTTAGAGGGGGGACTTTTACAACGTGTGCATTTATGCCCCACAGTAAAAACATAAAAGAAGCTTTGAAATAAAATGTTTCAAGATTAATCAGTAAAGCAAAACGTCCTCTGATAAGAGAGGTCTTCTTTGGCAACGAGTCATTTTTACCTCCAAAATATGTGAATTATAAGAGATAAAACTGATGAACCTTTGATGTTAAATGTAAATATATGAAACACAGATGTGGTGCTGTGACATTAATCAGCAGCTCCACAGCATTTCCTCTAATCCCGGGGTTAATAACCGCATAGGAAAAAATAGCAAAAAAGAGAAAGGGGTAAGTATTTTTTCTTAATCTCAAAGAGGCTTAAAACGCATGAAGCCATTTGTTTTTGCTAATAAACATTACGTCATCTGTCCTTATTGTTTTCAGCCAGCCAATAATATTTCTGATGTACATAATTTCTAAAATGTATACAAGCCGTGAACATGAGCAGAAACACTGCTGAAACACAAATAAGCTTTTGACAAGTTAATAATTTTAGAAGTGTAGAGGTGCATCTTGAGCACAAAGCAGGTTGAGCCCCCTGCCCTCCAAGAAAAGACAGATGTGAGTTGATAATTGACAGTCAGCTCATGACTCTTATAGCTCGAGACAAGCTAATAAAAAAGAAGAAACAAAACAAGAGTGGGTTTTTTTTTTGGGGGGGGGGGGGGGTAGCTTTTATGTGTGCTAACATGGAGCCGTTAATATTAAATAAGGTGTGATTAATTAATGAAAAGATTTGGGAGCAATTATTTCAAAGTGAAAGAGAAGAGCTTAAGGGCCTCTGTATTTGCTGCACCTGAATGATTTTCATGTATTCCATTACATAGATAGCAACATTTTCATGACGCCTGCCCATGAGCACAGGAGCCATGTAATTAAATGTAACTGAAAAATTACACGAAATGTTTCGTTTCCAGATCCTCGTGTATCAATAAGTCTCTTGTTTTCATCGCTATTAAAATTACTTAAGCACCATAATGAAACACTAATGTGAGTTCTATAAATACTAAACATAAAACACTGAAAGTAGATTTTTGTTCACAATCATTCAGTCTTGAAAGACGTGAAAGGGTCTGTGGAAGCTGGGGAGAATGTAATGGTGCCTGCAACATCATTCAGCGTGTCTGGTTTGGCAGTCAATCAGTGATGGTCTGAGCAGGCAGATCCACTGAGGAATGCTCAGATCTCTCAACCCAGCATCATGGCAAAGGATGCAATTAACACGCCAGTCCACTGTGCCCATTTCAAGCTTTATCTCTCCATAGCGTGACATGGACACCCATGCGGAAGCTGCATTAATGCATGCAGAAGCTGCAGCTGCAGCTGGAGGAGATAATGTATTCAAAGCCAAGAGGTCGTTAGTGATCAAAAGACATATGAAGTACATGCGAGGGTCATTAATCACCAGAAACTATTACCTTGGCAGCTAATATGTATTTACATTTTAATGCTTTCCTGTGATTATTTTCATGACTTGAAATAAAATATCTCCCTCTGCTGTTATTGAAGCTCACTGTAACTTACTGCAACTTCTGCATGCTTGTACATTTCACACTTTGCTGTGATACTAAGTTGAGATAGTAAGATACTTATGGGCTCAAATTGTCATAAATATTTTGCACTGGTAAATCAGAATGCGTATATTTGTGCATCTGTAGATAAGAATTTGTGTGTGCGAAAAAAGATTTGTGTGCGTGAAAATATTTACATAAGTTGCAATTTTTTGTTGTTAAGGTCTGGTTACAGATACAAAGCAAAATAAATCCATGTGAAACTCTGCACTCAAGTTTCAACTCACAAGTACAAATTTTGAGCCAATTTTTCTTCTTTTCAGCTGATTGGTCAATGTCATGTCAATCACAAATGTATCTATCCAATGAGAGAACAGATGGGTCAACGTCATGTCCTCTGAGTGCAGAGTTTCACAAGGATTTTCTTGCTTTGTATGTGTAACCAGACCTTAACAAAAAGAATTTGTAACTTGTGTAAATATTTTTACACACACAAATCTTTTTCTTATCTACAGATGCACAAATACAAAACTGATTTACAAGTACAAAACATTTATGACCACATTTTGAGTGCTGGGTGGTCAGAGTATCCAAGCAGTTCCTGGAGGATGAAGGCATTGGAGGCTTTTTTAGCCTTGCGCTTTCAGTGTCTGCACTGACGTTCATATTAGACATAACAACGTATTGTGTCATGTTGACATTGTGTCTTGACAGCACACTATATACTAATTGATAAGATGAACTAATGTACTCAAAAGTTTTAGGCTAGCTCCACACGTACACGGGTATTTTTGAAAACTGAGATTTTCCTTTTTCATTTTTAAAAAATCCCGTCCACACGTAAACGCCAAAAACAAAGGAAAACGCTGCCGGGAACATGCCAAAGCCACAGGTGTCGATATATTCCTAACCGTGTAGAAATGGCAGAGTAAACAAAGATGGCGCATAGAAGCAGAGGGTCAGAGAGCCCGGTGGCGCCAGTGTCCGGCAGCCTCACCTCTGTCAGTGCGTCCCAGGGCAGCTGTGGCTACAATGTAGCTGCCATCACCAGTGTGTGAACGTGTGTGTGACTGATGTGTAAAGCGCTATACAAATACAGGCCATTTACCATTTACCATAGAAGCAGAACTGAGTCCTATGTTTGGAGGACAGTAACTGTGTGTGTATATGTAAGCATTTAAACACAGCAGAGAGTAAAATTAACAGTAACAGTGTTTTGTCTAAGTCCGCCATTGTAGAAATTAATTTCACTGAAACAATAACGTGGCGCACAGTGTGACGTCAAAAAAGGCGCACACCTTTGACGCTGCGTTTTCTCCATTTTCCTCGTCCACACGTAAATGCAAAACGCAAAAACTGAGTTTTCGAAAATCTCCACCCTGGCAGGAGTTTTTAAAAAATTGCGGTTTGCAGTGACCGAAAAGGCCGTTTACCTGTGGACGAAAGATGCAAACGCATAGAAAAATCTGCATTTCCAAAAATACCCATGTACGTGTGGACGCAGCCTTAGTAAGATTTAGCGATGTGTTTCAAAGCACACTTGTTATTGTGTAGTAAGCTATGAGGAAGACTGTGCAATACTGTTCTGAAAGAGCCAGAAAAATAGACCAGAGAACTCTGAATGACATATTTCTCCACAGGAGGCGTCATGTTATACAGTCCTAAGCTTAAGATCTCAAAGAAAAGTAACCATACCAGTATAGTAGACACCACCAGGGATCGATTGGACAAGGAGTCAGAGACATTAGTTGTCTTCCCTTTCTGGTTGTCTGTCATGTTTAGGCCACTCGGAGGGTCCCAGGTACCAATCTGTAAACAAATATTTAATTAATTTTTCTTCTGTTAGAAGGCAGATAGAGTACATGCAAAATCCATTGGTACAGAAAAACATGAGAGCATGAAGTGTTAGATTTAAAAAACAAAAATGTTTAATGAGTTTTATATTACAGAACAAGCAAAGAATAATAGTACAGTTAACATAAGATTTATATTAAACAACATCGTCCCCAAAATAAACAAATATAGATTTAAAAATAAAATAAAATAAAACCAATGCGAGAACGAAAAATAAAAATGACAAAAACAAACAAACAAACAAAAAAACTCAGCACCAAGTATCATTTTCTAAATTAATTCCCTTCATAATGTCTGAGAAACTCAGTTAAATGTAACCATATTTCTTCTAAATCTACTCCCTTTCCTCTAACAATATAAGTAAGTCGTTCCAATACAATACATGATGCCATCTCCTTCACCCACATATGACTTGAAGGTAGTGATGGTAAATTCGATTATTTTTACTGAATTGAGTTTGAATGAGTCACTCGCCAAAATGAATCAGGTTTTTTGAGTCATTTGAGTCACTGAGTCAGTTGCCCAGAGAGTGTAAAAATGTACATTTTTACTCAAACTTACTTTGTTTCTCTTTTCATGTATATCCTACTGCTAAGATGAGTGATTGAAAAAGAAAAACAACTATTTTTATAGAGCAAAAAAAATAAGATTTCTAAAGGGAACATTTATTTTATTTATTTTTATTTTATTTTATTAGTATTTTCCTCAAATGTGTCAAATATATATTTTCTCATCAAAATGTCCACTGAGCTGTGAGCCAGGGGGCGGTAATGCTCCTTAATGTTGGTTGTCAACCAAGAAGAAGAAGAAGAAGCTGTGAGACAGGAGGGAGGGGGTGAGTGACTCCTGAGTGATTTGTTCATGTTATGATTCCGCACAGGAAGGGAAGGGGTGAGTAACTCAAATGTGCTGTTAGCATGTTAGCAGAGCGATGCTACTGTGAACAGAGGAGGTATTGTCTTGATGTCTGTGAAGGTTCTCAGTCATCCAGGTCATCGTAGTCAAAGGAGCTTGGACAGAAAAGCGTCTGGACTTCTTTAAGTTGCTTGAAGACGTTTCACCTCTCATCCGAGAAGCTTCTTCAGTTCTAAGGTCAAATGGTGGAGAGTCCCAGAT